CCCCCCCCCCCCCATAATAACAGCTGACCGGTTCTATAGTATTATTAATCCTGGAGCGATCAGGAGGGGGACCATGAAGAGAGGGGGTCTAATCTGGGGCTTGTGCACTGTTACATAAGGTTATACGCCTTCCCTCCCAGGTTTGATCTCACTGGAGCATCGTGACGTACCAATGACGTGAAAAACTAATTAAGAGATGAGAGTCACATCCACGAAGAGTCGGTTTTAGAATCGTTAAGGAAGATCTGTAGAACGAAGCCACTCTGGGTCTGCTCAGAGCTCTGAAGTCTATCAGGAGGGGATTCTGGTCCAGCCAACAGGACTACGACTAACCCCATTAAGTGCTTAAACTGAGGTAACCACTAATTACTCACATTCAAAGCCAAATAATGCCCTGGCATACATCCCAGCACCTTCAGTGGGATTTATCTGATGGTGGAGTAACAGGACTGCGGAGCTGCAGTTCGCTCAAATAGTTCATCGAACCACAACTGAAGTGTACGCGTGTCTGAGAGTCGATGGCAGGGACTGCCAGCAGGCCTCTGCACCCGTGTCGCTACATTTCTGCAGAATTACTTGGAGAATAAACTGATTGTGTCAGTGATTGCAATCAAGCCGCAGGTCAAGAGCATACCTCGGCTTGTTTGTTGGAGAACTCTGAGCCGTCTGCCTTCAGGTTCTGCACGACGCCCTCCACACTGCTGGAGCTGAACAGCCTGAAGGGAGGGAAGGTTACACCAGTTCACTCTCCATTAAACTAAAGTCAGAATGTAATAACAAGCATTTTCTGTGTGGCGAAAATCCTATAATATCTTGTTCCTCTGTGCCACGGAGCTCCATTGTTGTCCTAAAAAACGATTAAGAACATCAAATCCTCAGCTAAAATAGTCCGCAACAAACACGCTCCCTCCTGTACTCCTGTTTGAGTAACATCTGCCAAAACACTGCCCGGCTGTTCATCCTCAATGGGAACCAATGGGACTTGGGGCTGAGTGCCATATAAGCCTCATCCTGTAAGTACCTCGCTGTTACTAGTTTTTGTGCTACTCCTGTCAGATTAAAGTTTGGGAAAAGAAATTCAAGGCCTACCTGTCAATGTCAGACATGTGTTTGTCCAACACGAACGGCTTCTCAGAATCTAGACCGCTCTGTGGACAGAGAACAACCATCAACACAGACAGACACTGACTCTCAAGAGTTCATATAATAACATATGTCCGAACGCCTCATTGCCCTTTTTAAGCTGTTTTGGATATTTTGAGGTTCAACGTTGAGGAGTCTTACCTGGTTCTGGTATGAATCCAGCACTCTGGAGACGTCTTCAGCAGAGGGAGACTTCAAGCCCACCAGCTCCTTCTCCAGCTCTGGGATCTATTGAAGTAGAAGGTTCGACATTAAAATGAGCCACTGGAAAATATGCTTGCTGACTTGTTTATCTTTGTGCAGTCGAGTGTGGTTACTACAGTTCTACTACAGTACGTTTTAACCAATAAGCCAGCAGTAAGGGGACAGTGCAAAGGGAACTTTGGTTATGGCTTCAATCAATGAGAAAAACAACACATACATTCAATAGATGTACGAGGTATTTTTCCAGCCTTGTTTTTGATGAAACTGCTGTTAAAGTTGCACAAACAAACTAAATCCACCCGCTGCACATCTGTCCTGAAAATCAAGGTCAGAGTCCTGAATAAACTCTGCCGCCCGCTGTTCTGACCTCACACCAACAGCAAGACAAACACAACCTACCAGCGCCATGTTGGCACCTTTAAACAAGAGTGAGACAGCCACAGACTCAGCATCCGGCTTTCCAGCGGAGCTTTAACCTCTCCCCCCTACCGTGCTCCTGTCCTCCACCACCACTCTCACTCAGATAATGCATTGAAATGAATACATTGGTAAAACTCCTGGTTGTTTGGCCCGTCGAGTGTTTGCCTTACCGTCTTATGAATGGCATACAGCCATGTACCATACCTTCTTAGACTCTACAAAGTGAGTGGCGACTCCAGCTCTCTGCACGTCTCGTCCCTTAAGACGGAAGCCCGTCAAGGCCAGGAATAGTCCCAGCTTTCCCCGGAGCCTCGGCAGAAAATGGCCACCACCCACATCGGGGAAAAGCCCTGTCAAAATAAAACAGAGAAGAGTTTAAAAAAATGAGATAACGATAGATTGTCCAACGGTGATTCTTAGAAACATAGACTCATACACCAGAATGACTGCCTCGTGTTTGTTTGTCTGTCCAAAATATCATCACTTCATCATTTTATCTATTAGACAGTTGTGTGAAATGGTCAAAATTAGAATACGTATGAGTTACGGCCAGAATCGTGATTTGTGAGGTCACAGTGACCTCGACCTTTGAAAGACAAATTTCAATCAGTTCATCCTAGTCTAAGTGGACATTTGTGCCTCATTTGAAGACTAGACATCACGTTCATGACAATGGGACGATGGACAACTTGAAAACACAACGCAAAGGCTCTCACAGCGGCAGAATCACTATGATATGGATCCCTTTGAAGCAGTTTAAAAGATGGCAAGGTTTCCCAAAACTAAGGAGGGAATATATTATCACCCACCCCACAGATAACAAGTCAACATGTAAATAATATCTAGCATCTGTTATTTAATGACAATTACACACTAGAATCAATGTACATAATACAGCTAGGGGTGGAACTAACTATTGTTTTCCTCATTTAGATTAATTGACCAGTTATCTTCTAGATTAATCAATCGATCCTTTTGTCTACAAAACATCAGAATCAAGTGAAAAGTGTCCTATAGCCCAGGGGTAGGCATCCTTAGGCACGCGATAGGTAAACCAATAGCACACTAGCAATAAGTGGAAATGTTGACGTGCCCTTTAATGTGCAAATGACCTCTTTCACAGCCATTAGCAGCTAAGCGGCCTATTATTTACAGTAGTTTGATTTCTTTCCACTCCCACATTCTGCGAAGACCTGCCCTACTCTGCCTCCGATTGGCAGAGTAGGGCGATAAACATGCGGCTTACGCGCAATCAAGATTATGAAAAATGTGCAGCCTTAATCTGTGTGAAATGTGTTCTGTATTCTCAATGACGTTTCCATCTGATTTCAATGTTTCTGACAGGAGATAAGGTTCCATTGGTCACTTTAGGTTTTCTGACGGCTTTTGTACCGTGGCTTGAGGCGGGGGGGAGTGGATGTGAGAGAAGGATTAGATGAGTTGACCTGATTCACGGCGGAAAATGTAATATCATAAATGCGAGAGATTATGGCTGTCGTTCAGAATGCTAGCAGGGCCCAGGTTAAATCTGTTAATCTCGCCACAGAAGGGGTTAACGTTGCGCCGTGAGGCTACGTGTGTGTTCGTGTGCGACTAGTTGTGAAGTTATTATTCTAACCTTTAAAAACACATATCCTGAGGGAGTAACAATAATTACCTGGAAGTCTAGGGCCTTCAGTACAAACAATAGTGTCAACGTGTGACCACAGCAGCTCAGAGGATTAACAAAGATTTCCAGCCTACTTGCCAAAGTGACTGATGAGTTTTAAAGACACCAGGAGATCCTTGCTTTATCTAAGAGCATAAATAATGAGACTAAACAAAACACATCTCATGTGCTACTTTGCCAGAAAGTACTGGACAACACAAGGCTGTACATGCGTGGATTAGAAGAGCAATAAATGCTAGACACACCTTAAAAGACACACATACTGCATCGTATATCAATCAGCTCATATAACCAATCATCCGCCTCTGTAATTGAATTGAGGTCCCATTTCCTCCTACTCTTCAGCCTTTGGGAAAATGCCACGCACGCACGCACGCACGCACGCACGCGCGCGCACGCACGCACGCACGCGCACGCACGCACGCACGCACACACACACACACACACACACACACACACACACACACACACACACTTATTTTCTGCTACACTCAATTCCTGTCCGCGGACAACATAATCTTCATTCCTGCACTGCTCCGTACATCTCGGTCATTTCCAACGCACGCCACCGCCCAGAGTAAAGTGTCAGCTGAAGATTTATTGTGGAGTCTGAGCCCAGAATGCTCAGGAATCAGCTTGATGTGTGTGTGTGTGTGTGTGTGTCTGAGCGAGTGTTTTATTGTCAAATAGAGGATGATGCGAGTGTCCTTGGAAGTGTGCGAGTGTGAGGTAGTGAGATCACACAGTCACTTATTTAGAAAATGAACAGATACACATTAAATCTGCAGTAAAAAAAGAAAAACGACTAACCTTGCAACTTCTGCACAAAATACTTTGACTTGATTCCAATGCAAATATAATACAAATTTGGGCAGAAAGTCTGTCGAGCCTTTTAAACTGATCATCGAAGATGCTCGAGGACCATCTCAATGTCCATTAAGCATCTTTGTGATGTGAAAACACAGGTCAATTCACAGGCTCTTCCTCGCCACAAAACCAGAGGGATTCATGCTTTGGTAGAATAGATTCCTGGTAATAATTCATACACAATTAAAGAACTGTGATAAGCCATCTGGAATTAAGTAACAACCAGCTACTTCATGCCAACGTCGGCTGTAATTCGTTAGTTGTTAGAGATTTGGTACTAATCTCCTCAGTGCCTCGGGAGACGGCCATCTGTCCACTGTGGCCAATTAGCTAAAGAGCAAATTTAAGCTTAGTACTCTGGCCGTGAAACACTAAGAGACGTTCTTGATCATTTCTCCATGCAGCAAGCCTTTTAGTTACTGATCAGGTGTAACTATATTATGTATCATTATTGGTTTTTGGTGGTATCAGATTATGCAAATGGTAAAACCACACACGAAGACTTTGAAAATTAAAAAAAGGTTGGATCCCATCTCTCCCCTCTTGATAATTGTTCTATTTCTCATCCACCTTAAAAGATCAGACAAAATAAAAACATGGAGGTCTGCTGTCCTCTCACCATGTCAGGTCGGTGTGTCCTGCAGTCATGGCTTCATACGCGTTAATCATGTCAATGTCAGCTTCTCACGTGATTTACAGCAGATCACAAGGGCTGGGCCAAATGGTTTCAATCAATATCACATTATCAAAAAACCAGGATGACATTTAATCATAGAATGAATCTGCCGTACTTTGACTTTGATGAAAAACACTTATAATACAACTCATCTATCCCTCTGTGTATTCAAGTCTCCCAGCTTCCCATGCAGACACACATCATGTCTATGAGTGCATTTGATTTGGATTCAACCGGGTCTGCAAGTGAAATCACTGCTAACCACCACCCCCCCCCCCTCGAGGTCGACAGGAGCTGGTGCAGCTGGACGGTCTTACCAATGGCCGTCTCTGGCATGGCGAACAGCGTCTTCTCAGTGGCCACTCGAAACCGTCCGTGAACTGACAGACCCACACCCTGCAGGAAGAAGAGAACACGGTTACAAAAAAAATAAAAAAAGGACTACACAGCGGGGGAAGCGGGCCAAGGAGGAGACATCAATAACCGAGAGACCCTGAGCTGAAGATTGAGATGGAAAATGCTGAGTAAAAAAAATAAAAAGTAAACCAGGCCGACCCCCGCGTCAGTGTGCATGATTTGTGTGTGTGGCTCCCAGCCGGGAGAGAGGTGAAGGCTAAGGAGCGATGCTGGTCAGACGACATCTTCACTACCGTTTACAATTATGAGGTTGCCATGGAGACAATACCCTTGACTATGCATAAATCGTGTCGATACACGGAAAGGTGTGTTGTACTGTGTAGAACTTTTAGGGGGGAAAAGGCCCGACTAATAACAGTCTGTGACACTCAGACAGCAGAGATCAGCCTGGACAACAATGAACTTGAAGGACCACTGACAGAAAATACACACACACCCACACACACTTTATTTGAATGATTGTTCCGACTTAAGTCACGCAGCGACCGACAGACTCGTTGAAGATGCTATTAATAGCACTAAAGGCGGAGAGAGACCATGACGTAGAGCCGACATATTTTCACATCTAACTCGGTGATTTAAGGCTTTATTTCAACCAAACCAGAGGGGGAGTTAGCTGGAAGTGGAAAGACGAGGCTAACCATGACGGCGCGATGAGTTTTATTTTGTTTCGGTCAAGTTTAAGTGTGTTCCATGATTAGCGATGTAAAATGACTGTGTTCTTCAATGAAGTTTGAGACGGCTGTTTCCCATCCAACATGGTGAATTAAGGGTTTATTTAGACCCAATAGGAGTTGGCGATTGTTGGAACAGGGATTTCTGTAGAGTTTCAATGGAATGCGTTTTCCTCGCCTTTGAGAAACACTCCTGTGTGCTCCACTGGCTGCTCCACTGTTGATTAACCCCCATATCAATCTCTAAACAGATGAATAGTACTACCTGATGCAATCACGCCACCTGCTGAGGGCTGAATCTGTGCCAACCAACCATTAGCGAAAGTGTGATTACCTTATCTTCACCTTGTTCTTAGAGAACAGCTAGACAGCGGCACAATATCTGATCGCAGGAGACGAAACAGACCTGAAACAACCAGATCCCAAAAAAAAAAAAAAGGCACACAAAAGAGACAGACGGTGACTTATGTCGGCTTAAGACATTACACAATTACATGATGACAGCACTTCAGTCGCAGAGCAAAGACAGGCACCATGTTCAGAGTGGAAACAGGAACTCAACAGATTTCCGACGGACGGCGTTGTCGCGCAAGCGTAGCACAGTTAGCTGCAAGCCGCCGACTCAGCACTCGCCACGATGAGAGCCGCGTGGAGGCAATTAATGCATTCTAAACAGTCTTATTGAGCAACTTTAGGAACACATTTCAAATTTTAGAGAGAGATTGACAACGTTCAATGAGATTACGTTGAAGCTAATGATACTATTTCTGATGGCTGAATTCCATTTTGTTCCGGTATTGTGCATGCTAACTCGCTGTCACGTTTTACTGGGACACTTGAATAGAGCAGAGCCATGTTTAATGTTATTAGTAACACCTGGGCTTTTCCTACTGTGATGTGTGCTGTGAAAAAGTGTTTCTTCATTTCTGTGATTTTAAGATCTTTCCCCTTGACATTCTGAAATGAAAGTAAAATCCAATAAACTATTTCTCTATTAATTATTTCATAATAATAATAATAATAATAATAATAACAACAACTTGAGTTTTAATACGGTACGGAACAATTTCACAATCTACTTTAAATATTTTACTGCATTGTTTTTCATACCCGTTTGTTTCCTACTGTAATTGACACTAGCCTTTTTTAAGTTCTATACGTGTAAGGTAACACTGAAGCAAAACATCCAGAGCTCCTCCTGTCTTCCTCTATTGTTTGATACTGAATCATTCATGTATAAGATGAATAAACCTACATCACAGCAGCCATTTCCTCCAAAGTGTAGAAATAACACAACCTGAAAACATTTTTCGCAATCAGAAAATGAAAGACAAACAAAGGAAACAATAAACGGTCTTCTTGCAATGATCGATGGATGCACCGGTACGGAATGAGGGTCCGTTTGATCTCACATTACCCGAGTTTTACCATAAAAGCAGTGGAACATTGTTACGTGCTGGTGTGGCACCGCCGAGCACCATATAAGAACATGTCTGCAGACGCTGCTGTCAACAATGGAAATGTGCAAAAGTGTGCAGACGAGCATGTTTATAGCTTATGCTTACAAACAGAATAGGCTGCAAAATTTACAACCTGGCTGGGAAGAGTTTACACTGGCCAAGAGTACAGAGGGCTTCAGGAAGTCCTCGTAGGGATATTTGGTTTACTGGATACAGAACAGGTGGGGTGAAATCCATTGCAATGATGTCGAGTACTGTAGTTGTAATACTTTTCACACCTCAGTTCCTCAAGAGGAATCGAGGTACCTCCCCAAAAACATTTTGCAGAAGAATCCCAGTTTGCAACATCAGAAATGATTAGTGACGCCGTGCATGAGAGTGGAAACAAGTGGCAAATAACAGTTAGAAACACTTAAAGAGAAAGTGACGTTTGTTTGAAAATTACTTTCCACATCACTCTTGCTGCACACAGTCTGGAAGATGAGAACCTCAATGCATGGATCAAAATCTGCCCTGAGGTCTGTTTCTGTTTTTTTGGGGTCCTCACTCTGTTCTCATTAGATGATGTGTGGACATTAGGAAACAAGAGCTCTGTTCTCCAGAGGAAAGAGATTACAGCCATGCGGCTCCGGACAAGTATCCATCAGCGGCCACTGCGCCTCGTCTGTTACAAACCCTCTTGAAAAGCGGTGTGATCCGAGCCAGCATGCGAGGAGCACTGCAGCACGAACACGATAAATGTTTTGAAATGTGAAGAGCAAAACTCAAACACGCTGAAAAGTCAGAGACACAGATTAATAACACTTCAGCATTCACAGACCTTCATTCTGGGGATTTTAAACTTGGAGAGCGATGAATGATGTGCGTGTGATGAGATCCCACTGATGTAAGAGAGTGTGTGTGTGTGCGCGTGTGTGTGCGCCCGTGCGCGCTTTGACGTGCTAAAGACATGCCTCTTCCCTCCCCGGTGGTTTGTTATATCTAAATGCAAGAATACTCGCTTGACGTGGGAGTTCTGCCGCGAGCTCAGTGCAGATCTGGGAACAGGGACTCTGGTCCTCTTGGACTCTTCCATATATAGAACTAGGCTGTTTTACAACCACTACACACATTAAAACAGCAATCGCCTTGAGGATGGTTTGCGTCAACATTAGTGTCTTCCAGTGGCGGGCCGTGCATTTTATACCTGGGCCTTCACTGCTGTCCTGCAGCTGAAATACCACCTTATAACCTCATGATGGCACCACAGCTACGGTTAATATTAGTTTCTAGGGCTGTAGCTATATACGTATTCGTATTAAATAGTTCGGTACGAGGCTTACAAACCGAACAATACGTTTGAATAAAACTAGTGCATTTGGAAAATGCAGAAGCTTAAATTGTAGGAAATATAATGTTTTCTGCGCTCATGTAGGAGACAATGGTCTGTGTGACCTCTGAACCGGAACAAAAAAAACCACAACAAAAAACAGCTGGGGCTCCGCAAGTGTTCTGGGAGGCTACGCTAACTAGCTTAACGGGAAAACAACAGCAGCAACAGGCATTCTGCTACACACTCAAGGGCCATTCAGATATTAGATGTAAAAAAACAAAACGCAGTTGACTTACCAAATGCTGTTCACTTAAAGACAAACTCCATGCTCCTTTCTTTGTTGACAAAGAGTTTCATCCCATGGTTAAATCCCAACTCACAAATCTGTTTCTCCTCCTTCAGCCATTGAGTGTTAAAAAAACAAAACTAGGTAAAAAAATAAATAATCTACACCAAGCAAAATGCAAAAAATGTCATAATTTCTTCCATATCTTTCAATTTGAACTCTCACTACTCCGACTAAGCCTCTGCTGTTAAATTTCGTTTCACGATAGTCACGTGCTCGCCCACTGACCAATCACAGCACACGCTGCATCTCACTGCAGAGCTGCTCCTGGACACTGAGCTGCACGTAACGCTGACGTACTTGTAGGCCAGCTAGCAGGCTCTGACATGTCAAAGAATACGCCCAACATGTCAAACTAAAGATCTGATTGGTTGAAGACTATGACAATCAACAATATTGTCCCCATTCACTTAAACTGCAAAGGGATTCACTTGTGAGTCTGCAGGCCTCGGACCTCTCTTCTTACCGAGAGACACAGAGGTGAAATCTGATTGGATAAAAGCTCTACTTAAAACAAGCTGCACTGGAAGCAGAGCAACTGAGGAAGACAGTAGCTGTGCAATGAGAAAATAAGATAATGGGAAAAATATTTTTATAAATTATAATACATGTAGTGTATTTATGAAAAATTATTACATTATAAAATAGCTATTCTGTTTAGACCAGCAGAGAAGGCCTTGAAGGCCCTGATGGCCCACCACTGGTGTCTTCTCTCTACTGATGTGACAGATGGGAGCTCTTCAAAATCACGTTATTCCCAGAGCCATAAACCCATTTACAAAAAGACAAAAAGAGAAAAGAGTTGAAAACTTTGTGTGATAAGCAGCGCGAAGGAGTTGACGAACCTTTCCACTGGGGTGATGGACGGAAGTGACTTGTCTTGTATCGCATCATATGGTGCCACATACGTCAGAAACAAGCACTCAGCTGTCCCTGATTACCCCCCATTACTGCACTCTGCTACCCTACGTTGTTTCTCTTTCCCAGTGTTGTTCTGACAAATAAATTATAGCTTCCGTCTCTCTCTCCTAAGTGGCGGTGTCATTGTCATCATGACGGTCTAAACACGGGGGGGGGACACAAGCAAAGAAGATCATTTGGTTTTCGGTTCACAACCTCTAGGATTTATCCCGCTGTGAATTACCCAGTTTGAAATGTTTACTGCACAATACCAACAACAAAAAAGCTGCTTTTGTATCGGCAGTCCTAAGCAGCCCAAAGAACTAACCATCTTTAATGGAAACTGACACATTGGTACAGGTCAGGCCAAGATGGTGATCACTTTAAGTCCCTGCCATCAAAGAGCGACATTTGACCCTTCATATATATATATATATATTCTTGCAGCTTTAAAGGTTTTAGTTGTTTGCTCTGGTTGTTCTACATCCAGTCGAACAACAGAGGACAGTAGAACATACAAATTCTCGCACGCACGCGCACGCGCAAACACACACACACACACACACACACACACACACACACACACACACACACACGATGAGTAATGACCCTGCAGATACCGGTCGCGGTGAGCAACCTCAGTGACCCCTCAGGAGTAAACTCACTGTCAAGGTCATGCAGTGGATAAAAGAACAGACTGAACCAGGCGATTGAATCAATATTAATAGTTTATCGCCATTTGCAATAAAGGTCCGTCCTGATATATAATTTATGTGCATTTGTGCAGCTGTGTCTGAATAATGTCTGATAATGCTTAATGTTGAGCAAAGGCACCAATTCAGATCCCAAACATATCTGACACCTGGAGCTACAACAAATGTGGCAGCAGCAAAGCGCTTCATATTTCATCCAATCAGAGGCCACCTTGCCACCGGCAGCAGCAGATAGTTCTCTACTGACACCTACAGGCATATTTGAATAGCCGTAGAGAGAGCAAAGCTTTTCACTCAAAAAGGAACCAAGACTCCACCCATATATTACCAACTTTATACATTAGAAACAATACTCACGCCTCCCATTGTTATTCCGTCAATAAGGGCGATGTAGGGTTTCCTGCATGTTCCTTAAAAGATTTAAAAAAAGGTGTTGGTGTGGTGTTTGGAGATGTGTTATAGTGAGATTTTAACTGAATAAGGGCCCATAGATAACAGATATTTGATGATACGGGTGTAATAGAACTTGTAACGCTTACCAATCGCGTTGTTGAGAATGTATTCCTCACGGAAGAAGACCTCTGCCAGAGAATCTCCAACTTTTCCTGCTTCTGTGACCGCTGAGAGGAGAAAACAGATCAAAGCAGAACCATGTCTGATTACATTACTGTCTCTCCAGACCCAGTCTGTGCCTCTCATGTACTGTCTGGCATACATTCAGGACACAGATGAAATCATCCATATTGCAAGATTAAAAAAAAAAAAAAGATCTATATCCCATTTCCCAAGTTGCGACTATTCTGGTAGCTGATGGCTGCCATCTTTGTTTTGATTTGGAAACAGAGGCACAAATTAGGAAACTCCTTTTTTATCATTCAGTAGACGGAATCATTTTTCATCCAGATGGTTTTAAGAGGCTTTGGGATTCTGGAAATACCTTTAAAATAAAAAGTGTTTTCAAACAACCTTCAAAGGCTTAATTTTATTTTAGGAGAACTGATGTGATGTGAATATCTGCTATTACATGAGAGGCTTAAACTGGGGCTACACAGAGCCCGCTGATTGATCCTTCAAGGCGACTGCTCACCTCTGATGTCTCCACCAGCACAAAAGGCTTTTCCACCTGCTCCTCTGATGATCACAATATCAGTCTCATTGTCATCTTCCCATTTCTAGAATGAAAAAAAATAAAAAAGCAGCAAATTGATAGGAAATTATCATCAAAAACAAATGTTAATTGTGTGCGGCACCAGCTGAAACAGGTTTCTGCTGCATTTAAGTGAAAGTTGAGACGATATTAAACACAACTGGATGACACAATGGGTTTTGGGATATTAAAAAATTAAAAAGGGTTTTTGTACAGAGTACAAGTATCTATCCAAAGCCATTTACGATCTGTAACACACTGTAATAATAAACAGTTGACACGCTCCAGGTCTTGACATTGGACCCAGTTGAGGTGAGCATTAACCAAGCTTTCCACCTACCTTGAGCTGAGGGTGGATCTGTCGGATCATGGTCAGGTTGAGAGCATTCAGGACTTTGGGTCTGTTCATGGTGATCACACCTGCGTTGCCCACTTTCTCCAGAAGAACCCCTGGATCCACCTGACTCGACATCTGATCCAAAATAGAGACGGCGGGACAGAGTCTGTTAAGTCTTTACAAGAACCCATTGAAATGCACAGTACAACTAGAGAGAGCCTCACTACTCAATACTGTAACCCTGCAGTAGAACATGCAGGTATATGAGGGGGCTGCTCACCATGTGGCCCTGGATTCGCTGCAGCCTGCAGAGGGACCTCAGCCTGCAGGAAACAGGAGTGGAGAACAGAAATATTATCAGTAAATTTATCAATGAATATGTCGCCTTCTGACAAATTCAAATTCGGAACATTAACATAAATACATATGACCATAGACTCCCAGTTCGACCACTTACTATCACGACATTGTTCCTTAGTTATACTACACAGTAACGTTAGCTAGCATCCTATTGACTTACTTCAACCTTAGCCAGCATGTCTGCCATCATATAACAAGCTGACGTCACATATGACACCAAACTGTGTCAAGAAGACAACTGACACCAAACTACACAGTAGAAGTTCAGGAGGAGCACTGTCACTTGCAACATACCTGTAAGCAGATGTCAAAATGGTTAAGGACATTATTATCTTTGACTTAAGTGCCGTGACGAGTGGCTGCACTTTCAGGTACAGCTTTTTGCTCTCTCTCTCTCTCCTCTGTACTTTCTGCGTTTACTTCCTGAAAGAGCCGCAGAGCCGCCGCTGATTGGCCGGCATGGTGACGTCACGGTGGTCGAACGCACCACCGAGAGAGATTCAGTCGGCGCTGGTTTTCCGCCACACTGCCCCCTACTGGGCAGAGGAGGTACTCTCGGTCCTGTGTTCTTAAAATACGGAACACATTTATCTGACTATTTTATATTTTTTGTGTCCATTCCTGTAACTATTAAAAAACAATAGTGAAAATACCTCCTTGGCCAGCAGTTTAACAGTATGACAATGCTCTTTGGACTGTGTTTACATTGGTAAAACTCCCTGCTAACAGTGGTTAAGAGTAGGCCTATTCTAACTTAATGCATTTCCTCATTTACTGAGTTAGCCTACTTGCAATTTACTTTGAGTACACCATTTTACACCACAGCATTTTACAGGGAAATATTTATTTTAGTTACCCAACATTATGTAAAGTAGTTAAATGAGCTTTAGCTACAAAATAATATAATATAAAACTCTGACAGGGATCATTCTGTAGAATGAGTACTTTTAGGCATTCTGTGTATATATGTGTTTTATTTTCTTTATTTTCTTTCTGTACTTATGTTGATACAAAGCACTTTGTAACTTGTGTTAAAAATAAAAAAAAATACAATTGACTTACTTACTTTGGATATTGTGAGTACAATGTGCTGCCAATACAATACTATACTATACTACACTATACTATACTATGCTATACTATACCATACTATGCTTTTACTTAAGTAAAATTATGAATGCAGGGCTTTAAGTATTGTAATTTACGCATTGCTACTTTTACTTAAATTGGGATCTGGATGCATCTTCCATCCCTAACTACAAATACTGTGCAAGTTTTTTAGTTTTTTATTCAATTCAATTTATTTTTGTATAGCCCAAAATCACAAATTACAAATTTGCCTCAGAGGGCTTCTTCACAATCTGTACACATACGACATCCTCTGTCCCGGAACCCTCACATCGGAACAGGAAAAACTCCCCCCAAAAAAACCTTTAACGGGGAGAAAAGAGGGAGAGACCTTAGGGAGAGCCACAGAGGAGGGATCCCTCTCCCAGGATGGACAGAAGTGCAATAGATGTCATGTGTACAGAATGAACAACAGAACAGAGCAACAGAGCAAATTCAAGAACAATAAATGGTGAACTTGTAAAAGGGTGGGTATCGACATTAACAAGTGTTTGATTGCACAGGCTATCATAATGAGATTAGGGTGACTGCACTGCAGTGACGGAGGTGTGGCTGAGCAAATGTACTCTCAGTGTACCTTCCCTGGGCAAATAGAGAGCACACCTTGGTGACATTAGCCGGAGTAGTAAATAGGTGTATAAAGAAGAATGAAGACAAAATAAAATGGAAATGCAATACAGTGCATTGTCACACACAGAAAGTAATTTTATTTCAATTCATCATTAACACGATCATAGATCAAATAATGCCTGCAATGTGTCTTTCACACCAAAGTTATTAAATGTTAATAACTGCTTATACTGCATCAAACCAAGTCATGATATGGCTGACCTAAAATCATTTTCAAACATCCAGCATTGTTGGATGCTGGATGCCTGTCAGGTGAGAGTCAGAGACTCTGATTACATTTTTGTAAAAATACAGGTGCTCGATACAAATATATGTTTGAGAGATTATATGTGAAGAAACATTTAGGCAGTGACATATTGATGATAATATTTGTTCGGAAGGCGAAGGTTTCAAGGTCTTGTTCCCCCTATCCAGGAGTCTTCGTCTAGTCAGAGTCGCTGCTGCAGGAGCTGCTGGAGGACTACAGCAAGATGACACGACACACAAACATCAGCGAATCACTTCAATCATCTACAAAACCAACGTGAAGCTTGAATTATGGCTGTTTTGTCTACATTACATTTGAGAAATGTGGTTCATTTCTTAACTAAAGATTGGGAATAATTTGCTGACATTGGACCAATAATACAGCATTTCTTTGATTTCCTGTGATCAGTTCACATTAGGCAGTAATGCAAAACTTTTTTATGTTCTCTGTTTCACTGTTTGAATTCTAAATAAAGTCTATAGTTTCCAGAGCAAACATAAACAACACATCATATTTGAGAAAATGAGTCTTACCCCGTGACCGTCCTTTCCTTTCTTGTGGCATTTGCCATGCTTGTGACCATCCTTGTGCTTGTGCTTGTGTCCGTGGCACTGTCCGTGGCCCTGTCCATGGCCCTGTCCGTGGCCCTGTCCATGGCACTGTCCATGCCCCTCGCCGTGGCCCTGTCCGTGGCCCTGTCCGTGGCACTGTCCATGCCCCTCGCCGTGGCCCTGTTCGTGGCCCTGTCCGTGGCCCTGTCCGTGGCCCTTTCCGTGGCACGGTCCATGCCCCTCTCTGTGGCCCTGTCCGTGGCACTGTCCATGCCCCTGTCCATGCCCCTCTCCGTGGCCCTGTCCGTGGCCCTGTCCATGTCCTTGGCCAGGACCATGGCCTTGGCCGGGACCATAACCAGGTCCGGGTCCGTGTTGGCCTCCGTATGGACCCTGAGGCTGAGAAGGGTAGTTCATCGGTGGTGCAGTGCCTGGAGGGTGTTGAGGGTAACCCCCTGGCATCTGTTGAGGATGGTTTGGGTAACCAGGAGGGTACTGGTTTCCTAAAGATAAGGAGAAAAAAAAGAAAATGCCATACAGTTAATACTTGTCAAAAGTGATTATCAAGTCTGTAATGCATATTCATTCATTTAAAAGGGGTTGTGTTATTAACCTTGGTTGTGTCCGAACATTTTGAAACCTCAGATGAATCTACAGATCCTGCAAGAAAAGAAAAAAAAAGCACAGTTCGTCTTTTAACACACATACACAACCATGTAAGAACCTAAGTGAGCGGCAAATCCTCAGCAGAGTTTCAGAGGTGAACTTACCGTGTGCTGGAGAGCAGACCCACAGTCGCAGCCGTCACCTGAGGCTCCTTTTAATGCGCAGTCCACTTCACATCACCAGGGGCAGGGCCTGAACTCCCATAAGAACAGTTTAGCTTTGTGACCTACATGGGTGTGAGTGTGTTATTCTTTAACGTACAGTCAGTATAAAGTGTATACAGTCTGAGATGTGGATACATACACCCATCAAAAACAATTGTGATTTTTAAAAATAGTTTTACAACTCGTATTTTTGTCTGGCAATGGAGGATGTTTTGATCATTTGATCCATATCGATTTTAGTTTGGTTTATTTGGTATGGACATCACAGTAGTATTAGAATAGTATTATTGCACAACGACCAGATACACTGTGTTTAGTAGCTATAACGCTGACTTACAACAACCTGTCCCCTTTAACAAAGAAGACTGATTGCCCAAATGAGGCTTAGGGCCGTGTGTTGACTCTACTGGTGTCTTGTGACAGATTCATTAAGCAGGGAAGGAGCTTGACATTAAAAGTAGGCATCTAAAAACAAGCTCTAAGTTGGAATAGCACCTCATTGTTTCAATCCATATTTTATTATTGTCTAGTTATACAGTGATATGATGGGGTTTTTATAGTTGATTGTGAGACCTGCGACCAGGTGGTGACACAGCATGATAAGTGTATGAATATCAGACGCAGACATTACGTACCCGATTATCAAATCTTAGATGTGAGTCTATGACGATTCCTAACCATTGTCAACCTTGAGATCTTGTTTTGATAAGCGGACTATCTGCACATATGTATCCCTACTCAACACTCAGAAATGATTAATCATTAATATGTGGATGACTCAAATCAGAGGGAATGCAATGTGTCTCAAGTTTAAACACGACATCAACTAATACTGGAATAATCACTGCACAGTACACTGCACTGCACAAACACAGAACTCCACTGATTGGACCAGAAGCGTTTGGGTCCATAGAAGGCAGTGTAGTAGCAGAAGCAGCAGCCGCTCACCCAACGAGAATTTGCAATATTTCATGGGGGCAGTTTATTTGGCTCGCCTTCCGGTTTACATTCACACGAAAAGGCACCAGGCTACTCTGCCTTACTGTTTCCACTGAAAAGAGGTGCTGCTAATCATATATTACACCAATATACAGTATGTGCCAAAGATCAAACGGTGCTATTACAAGAACATAAATAGCATAAATGAAGGATTCACAGTGATTAAGCAGGTGATTAGAGGATTCATGTGAATGTCCTGGGGAGCGGCAGGGTGTGTAGCTATTGGTGAAAAACACTGCTGGACAAAGCTCTTGTTCATTCAACGCTCCCTGGGTAAATACAGATAATATGAATACACACTGATAGATACACATAGTGTAATGGTAAACTACAAGGTCAAGTGAACTAAAGAGGCAGAGGCACTGTAGGGATTACTTGCTTTTATGATAAACAGAAAGCAGTTTGATGTTGTTTATCACAAGGGAACAATAGGATCAGTGTCTACTACATCAGAAGCAGACAATATGTCACACACCGACTACTGTGAAATGTAGTGAAATGTATTGGCTGAACACTTCATAATATGTGACAGTTAAACCTGACTTTAACAGGTTCGATAAAAAACAAACTTTGAAATATAGGTGGTCAAAGAAACGGTGAGATAACAGGATGAAGGTTTCCAGCTAGCAGCCTGTTCTTGTTTTTCTTTCCCATCTTCATCTAGTCCGAGTCGCTGCTGCAGGAGCTGCTGGAGGACTACAGCAGGGACAAACATTGACATTTCATTTAGTGACGACGTGTCAATCAGTTAACGGAGTAATATGAATTCATTACTGAAGTTACAATCAGTAATAATCAGTTTCAGTTGTGTGTCTTTGGGTGATGAATTTATTTGTGGATCTAGGATTCCATTAATAAAATGATTCATTCTTGACTTACTTTATGCTTTGTGTCTGTGGAATGACTTTGTTTGCTGCTTTTGTATTTGTGTTTACGGTTTGGGCCACACTCAACCTTAAACCTACACTTGGTTTGGAGAGAGCTGAGTGACACATTTCACTACCAGTCATTTGACCCATTGTTATCATACAAATATTGATTGCTGTCCCTTCATGGTGATCTCTCATTATGTTCACCCAGGTGGTGTCTAAACTTCAGCAAACTTTAACCACAGAGGTGGCATTAGGAAATTAGCCGTTTGTGTCAAATTTGCTTTGGAAGACAGACAGAAATGATTTATTTCGTCAATTTAGACTGAGGAGTTGTTGGAAAACCGTCATGTCGTCATGGTAAGATTTAAAATATCAGTAGAATGATGACCCAACTTCACAGCTCTCTTCAGCTTTAAACCAACTGTGCACGTGTTCAGAAACAAACTGTTGGACAACTACAAATTGTGAGCCTAACAGTGACACTAGAGTAAATTCAGGTGACAGGTGTTTCTACTATTTTGTCCACCCCAGAGAGTTGAACCAACAACCAACTCTCTAAAACAGATTCACATTGCAACCTTAGCCTTGTTATAAAAACTGGCAACCGGGTGAGTTAAGAATCTAAGAATGTGATATGTGAATAAACTGTTTAACATTTTCAACGAACATTTAAAATGAACTGCATAAGTGAGATTGGCTACTTATTACCAGTGGACTGTGATACAGTTGGTAGAATAGAGACTCCATGATTTGCACTTTACAATGATCAATAAATCAACTGGATCTTACCCCATGACATTTATTTCCTTTCTTGTGGCAATGGCCATGCATGTGACCGTGGTTGTGTTTGTGGCCATGCCCATGCCCGTGATGCCCATGTCCATGTCCATGTTCATGTCCATGTCCATGACCACGACCCCGACCACGTCCATGCCCATGACCATGTCCATGTCCATGTCCATGTCCATGCTCGTGACCATGTCCGTGTCCATGCCCATGATCATGATCATGATCATGTCCATGCCCATGATCGTGATCATGTCCATGTCCATGCTCGTGACCGTGATCATGTCCATGCCCATGATCGTGATCATGTCCATGTCCATGCTCGTGACCATGTCCGTGTCCATGCCCAGGACCATGACCATGTCCGTGCCCATCATGACCATAGCTAGGTCCACACCCTCCACAAGGTGGGGCAACAGGATAGTGCGCAGGTGGCCCACATGGCTGAGGAGGGCAGGGTTGGGGTGGGTCAGTGCCTGGTGGACATTGAGGATAGTGTCCCCCTGGCGTTGGCTGAGGATTACAGCCAGAGGGATACTGTTTTCCTAGTTAAACAGAAAAGGGTGGGGCTCATCATTTTCACATTCAGTTTGTATACACTTGATGTTCAATGGAAGAAAGAAGGTTTCATATAAAGGACAGGGGTGGTGTTTTAGTAAAAGTGAAAAAGACAGTTGAGACAAGAGAGTGATTTACCTCTGTTATTCCTGTACATCTCAAAATTCCAGATGCAAACCCTGAAACTGAAAGAAGACACTTCAATGCACACAAACCACCAAATTAAATAGTTTTAATGGAAATTCAGATATGAGCAGGTGTAAAACCTAAGATGCGATAGTGAGTGGAGACAAATTTTGTGTAGCTGGTTGCGAGGTGAGCAGCCAGGTTGGTAAAGCTGGTGTAGCCGGTCAGTTGATGGCAAACGTCTTTTTGAGAATCTGAGATAACAGCTGGTAAGATTAGGAGCTGTGTGATCAGTAAAAGCTTTCAAAAGCCTACCTCAAACTGGTCAAGCTGGTTACCAGTTACCAGAACAAGGTGGAGTTTCAAGTGTTGCAGTGTGCAGTTTTTAGTAAATATCATAAAGCCATATCTTTACAAAGGTATGTTTTCATAGGTATGATAAAGACACGATCACAAAATAATGCAATACATTTAACAATGGAAATAGATGTAAGCAAGATGATCGACCGACCGACCACACACACACACACACACACACACACACACACACACACACACACACATAGTTTACGTTATTCCTAGATAGCTATTAATGAACTTACCGTGTGCTGGAGTTCAGAGCCACAGCTGCAGCATTCAGCTGGCTCTGCCTTTATATGAAGCCCCGCCTGAAACAGTGGCAATGGCCGTCATCAGGGGCTGAGCCTAAACTCCCACCGATTTATTTTTTGTGGTGCGGAAACATTTTGAGATTGTGTTCCTATTTATGACATAACCGTTTATATGTTGGTGTCACCAACGAACACCCTGGGCTTCCCTCAGGATAGTTTCATTGTTTCACAAACTCCATCCGAATCATTTGAAGGGGTCTAAGGATAGAGGCTGTTGTATGCTGTACAGATTGTGAGGGATATTTGTGATATTGAGCTGTATAGATAAAATTGACTTGACTTAAAAGATACTCGAAAGAAAACTGAAACGTCCCACCAGACAGAATCAAGAACAACTGAAGCGGTGTAGAAAGAATCATCTCTGTTTTAATTCTAAACTTTATTATCTTATATTTGGCACAAAGTCATGCAACCAGTGATGCAACAGTCAGTTTTGACATAATTTGTCAGGACATGCTTTTGAGTTGCAAAGAACCTTTTCATTTCATTCGTAATTCTTGGCAAAGGTTTGCAGGTGGTAACTTGTCTCGCCTCTTTTCCGAGCCAGGAATCGTCATCTAGTCAGAATCACTGCTGCTGCTGCTGCTGCTGCTGCTGCTGCTGCTGCAGGAGCTGCTGGAATACTACAGCAGCGACAAACATACAAGAAAGAAAAGGAAAAAATGTAATAATTCAGTCAGCGAACACAGCTTATCATTCAGTCATCGACAAAAGTGTTTGTCTCTTGCTCATCAATCTTCAGTTTTGGAGCAGAGAGCAATTGTGTCTCCCAAGGTTAATGGGTTCACTTCCCTGGGAAGACTCCCCAAGTAGCATACAGGTGTGAATGTGTGTAACTGTGTGAAAGTGAAGTGGTGTTCAGTTGTACTCCCTGTCCTAACCCTGAGAAAAATATCCCTTCAAAAATAAAAACATTTCATTGACAAGCTTTCCTTACCCTCGAGTAGCCTAAATAGATAACTACACATTTGACACTATATCACAAAAAAATACAGACTGGGATAATATTCTAAGAGTATGAATCAATATAGAAACTAATTTTATACATCTGAACAATACAGAACAGAAAAAAATACAGAAAAAAACGAAATACCCCATATTCATATCAGATAACACTCTACATATGAACGGACAATTGGAACTGGAGCCTGGGAAAACATTTGTTAGACGTCACAGGAGTTTGGGAGGCAGCTATGGAAAGAACATGACTAGAAGGTTAAATTAGGGTCTTTCGGTCCCACTGACAGCCATTTTGGCAAAACGTCAAAGAACAAATGGAGAAAAGAAGTGGACAGACTATTGTTCCTATTAGAAGTATCACCTGAACACTGCTTTACCACAGGACGGTGTTATTATACTGCATGTGTTGTTGATGGGAAAATAATAACTTCTAATTGGATGAAGCAACATCCTCCCACGATTGTTCAATCTAAATGTGCATGTACAGTATGTCAAGTGAAGCCCAGTCTCAAGGTGATTATGTTTTGTAATGTTAATTGCCTGTTAATGGGTTTTAATGGCAATAATAATAAAAAAAACATCTTTCAATGAATTCTGAGCAAAATCCGCATTTTATTGTAAATTAACTGAACACTGCACTGCTGAGTCTTACCCCGTGACAGTCCTTTCCCTTCTTGTGACACTTGCTATGCTTGTGACCTCCCTTGTGCCTGCGCTTGCAATTTTTCCCTGGCCCATGTCCATGTCCATGTCCTTGTCCGTGTCCGTGCCCGTGGCCATGGCCGTGGCCGTGCCCGTGGCCGTGGCGGTGCCCGTGGCCGTGGCCGTGCCCGTGCCCGTGGCCGTGGCCATGCCCGTGTCCATGCCCCTGGCCATCTCCATCTCCGTGGCCACCATGGCCTCCTCGATGACAGCTCCCCTCTGTAATTTGTCAAAAATCTACATCTAGTAAATGGGAATGTCAGGTATGTAATATACTGTACATTCAATACATTTAGAAGAAAGAGGAGAGAATGAACCAAAGGCAATTGTTATTTACCTCGTCCAGACATCTCCCAAAGATCCCCTGCAGGCAATTAAATGTATCTTCAAATGATAAATAAAAAAACAGGTTTACAAAAGATTCAAAAGTAATAGCAAATGCAACTGTAAGGCCTGTTAAGGGTTGATATGTGCAACAATTAAAAATGATGCCAAAAGCAACACCGTCTGCATATATACATATATACATATATATATATACATATATATATATATATATATATATATATATATATATACACATATATATATATACACATATATATATATATATATATATATATATATATATATATATATATATCAGCAAAGTGTTAGAGGTGAACTTACTGTGTGCTGGACAGCAGATCCGCAGACACAGCTGTTACCTGCTGCTCCTTTTATGTGAAGCCACACCTGAACGTGAAGCAGTCCATCAGGTCAGGGCACCGCCTTCCCTCTTATCAGAAAATATTTGCATTATGAGGGTACGATATGTGTGTGTATAATCTGTATCATAAGTACATGTAGCTATACGTACACCATAGGAATATTGCATATGTGTTGAAATAGCAATTAGATGTTATTTGTAAATCTCATACTGGTGTTGTGAACATAATGAGATAACTACAGCTAGGGACGTGTCTCTCACACACACACACACACACAAACACACATCATGTCACCCAATGTGCTATTTTTGAGTTATTTTGTCCTCTGCACAGCGTATTTGCCAAGCATGCTTGTTTGGAACATTCTTCTCGTAGCGAAGCAGTGTGATATTATCAGGAGAGAAAACTCCTCTGAAGAGTGATGATAGACTTTTAGTTTGAACTGTCTGTTCACTTTGCGTGCCAACACGCAAGTCGCTTGATTACCGAAAAGGAATGTGAAACATTTCAATGTATTTTAGTTCAAAGTCAGAATTCTGAGATTAAAGTTAGAACTCTGATGATAAAATACAAATTCTGAGATTCAAGTCTGAATTCTAAGTTTAAAGACAGATTTTTTTAGTTTAAATTCAAAAATCTGAGTTTAAAGTCAGTATTCTGACTTCTTCGTTCACTGAAGAGACAGGCAATTCAAGGTAACACAGGGTGAGTAATTGATATAGAAATGAACATGTTGTGGGTGAAGTATTACTCTAAGAACTCAAGCCTTCAGACTCAAGTCAAGTCTTTAGGGAGTAAAGTCTCAGTTGAGTCTTAAAGCAGGTTCACATGTCAAGCGTCTTAAATCAAGTCTCTCTTTAGGCAGTAAAGTCTCAGGTTTAGTCGAGTCTTAAAGCAGTCTCACACGTCAAGCATCTTAAGGCAAGTCTTTTCGGAGTCACATCTCAAGTCTCAGGTTAAGACTTGAGGAGGTCAACTAGTAGGTCAAGTCTTTAGGGAGTCAAGTCTCAAGTTCTGGTTTTTGAGTCGAGTAGACATCTGAATTGTTTAAAGAACAATCTAACAACTGATGTTCTTTTTACATCCACAGGAATATTTGAATATATGTATATATATATATTACCTTGAAATTAAATTTGAACTTTTGTTGTAAGAAGAATTCACCCCCCTCCCCCCCCTCCTCCTTCTTCAACGGGAACATCCTTGCCTTAAAAGGCCTGGAGAAAGTTAGTCATTCTTTCATTCAAGTATCAAACTTTGGGAAATCCCCTGATTTATACCGCGATAAGAAACAGATGCGTCATACTGAAGAGGACATGTGAGAAAGGTGGGGGAGGTAAATACAAAACCAGCTTTCTGATCTGCATCTGGTCACGCTTAAGACTTACCAAAGAGTAGATGGTGCTGGCTTAACCAGTTGCAAAGTCTTGTCCTGTGATTCACCTCGGCTACGAAAATAAACAAACTCTCTCAAAACATTCCTCACGACCACACCTGTACCTCCACTTTAACAAATCAGGTGTGCCAGAGATAGCAATAGTGTACAAAGGGCAAAGATCTGGAGCTTTTGTAACTTATTGGTTCTCCATCGTATACATCAGGGTAAAATGAATGGCCAAGCCCTATATACTATATATATACAGGTGCTGGTCATATAATTAGAATATCATCAAAAAGTTGATTTATTTCACTAATTCCATTCAAAAAGTGAAACTTGTCTATTATATTCATTCATTACACACAGACTGATATATTTCAAATGTTTATTTCTTTTAATTTTGATGATTATAACTGACAACTAAGGAAAATCCCAAATTCAGTATCTCAGAAAATTAGAATATTGTGAAAAGGTTCAATATTGAAGAGACCTGGTGCCACACTCTAATCAGCTAATTAACTCAAAACACCTGCAAAGGCCTTTAAATGGTCTCTCAGTCTAGTTCTGTAGGCTACACAATCATGGGGAAGACTGCTGACTTGACAGTTGTCCAAAAGACGACCATTGACACCTTGCACAAGGAGGGCAAGACACAAAAGGTCATTGCAAAAGAGGCTGGCTGTTCACAGAGCTCTGTGTCCAAGCACATTAATAGAGAGGTGAAGGGAAGGAAAAGATGTGGTAGAAAAAAGTGTACAAGCAATAGGTATAACCGCACCCTGGAGAGGATTGTGAAACAAAACCGATTCAAAAATCTGGGGGAGATTCAGAAAGAGTGGACTGCAGCTGGAGTCAGTGCTTCAAGAACCACTACGCACAGACGTATGCAAGACATGGGTTTCAGCTGTCGCATTCCTTGTGTCAAGCCACTCTTGAACAACAGACAGCGTCAGAAGCGTCTCGCCTGGGCTAAAGACAAAAAGGACTGGACTGCTGCTGAGTGGTCCAAAGTTACGTTCTCTGATGAAAGTAAATTTTGCATTTCCTTTGGAAATCAGGGTCCCAGAGTCTGGAGGAAGAGAGGAGAGACACACAATCCACGTTGCTTGAGGTCCAGTGTAAAGTTTCCACAGTCAGTGATGGTTTGGGGTGCCATGTCATCTGCTGGTGTTGGTCCACTGTGTTTTCTGAGGTCCAAGGTCAACGCAGCCGTATACCAGGAAGTTTTAGAGCACTTCATGCTTCCTGCTGCTGACCAACTTTATGGAGATGCAGATTTCATTTTCCAACAGGACTTGGCACCTGCACACAGTGCCAAAGCAACCAGTACCTGGTTTAAGGACCATGGTATCGCTGTTCGTAATTGGCCAGCAAACTCGCCTGACCTTAACCCCATAGAAAATCTATGGGGTATTGTGAAGAGGATGATGCGAAATGCCAGACCCAACAATGCAGAAGAGCTGAAGGCCACTATCATTGCAACCTGGGCTCTCATAACACCTGAGCAGTGCCACAGACTGATCGACTCCATGCCACGCCGCATTGCTGCAGTAATTCAGGCAAAAGGAGCCCCAACTAAGTATTGAGTGCTGTACATGCTCATACTTTTCAGTTGGCCAAGATTTCTAAAAATCCTTTTTGTATTGGTCTTAAGTAATATTCTAATTTTCTGAGATGAGGATTTTCCTTAGTTGTCAGTTATAATCATCAAAATTAAAAGAAATAAACATTTGAAATATATCAGTCTGTGTGTAATGAATGAATAGACAAGTTTCACTTTTTGAATGGAATTAGTGAAATAAATCAACTTTTTGATATTCTAATTATATGACCAGCACCTGTATATACTGTGACTTGCTATATGTGCTTGCAGTGTGACTGAATCACAATCTACAGAGTTTGCACCTTTTGAAACCCCGCTGCCACTTCCACTGTAGCGTCTGCTGGACTGTACGCTCAAGCTCGTAGGAGAACAAATACCGAGGCAGCGCAAGGCATTGCTGAAAAAATGCATCTGCTCTGCCAACTTCCTCATGTTGCATAAAGGTTCAAACATCATGGGACATGGCTGTTCATATACTGGATGTGTCAAAAATAAGTCAACATGTTCCTACTGTGAAGGTCTCCGTTTGGTCTTATCAATACAATAAAAAAATCCTGATTGATCAGGAACATGTATTGAGTTTTATTGTTTTTAATAGAGCACATTTCCACACAGTACGTGCTCTGTGATTGATACTTAGCTGAGCACAAACCAATGTGAAGCAAGTACAAGTACATTCATTGGAGATACATCCAGTCAAGATAATAGCACAGAAATATGATTGATCCTAAATGCAAATGGTAGCGAAGGGGCAAGGATATGAGGCAACACGGAGATAAATGTTTTAGTACACTTAATGAACCAGAGCACATGAACTGGACGTCTTGGATAGCAGCACGTTAGCACAAGATGTTTTGAGGGAGTAGCTCTGATGGATGAGCCGTCCTGGAATGTCAACACAGAAAGTAATTCGAAGAATGGAATGCGTGACTTTATCTGATGGATCCGACTCTGGAAACACAGCTGAAGTGTTCAAAAATTCAAACGCAAAGAAATTGTGCGCAACTCGAAACTGCATTTCAACACTCATCCCTCCCATAAGACAGTTCGTGTGCCACCCACAAAAAAAAGATACACGTTCCATTGACATGTTGTATTTTGCTTCTGTTGAAGACATTGAGTTCTCATATCCTAGCACATAGTCTGATGAACCCTTTAAAAGTCTTCACAGCTTGACCTTCCCAGCCGATGGACTGCTGGGGTAAAGCGTTGAGAAGCGACCGAGGGTCCAGACCGTGAAGACATTTCTGTAGGAGGTGTAGCTGATCGCACAGCTCTTGTTGAACACACCCGCAATATTCTCCTGAGGAGGGGAAGGACACAACAGCCGATATCAAAGCTCCACATAACATTTCATACTGTCATTGGATTCATTTCCTATTAGTTGTAATATCGGCGGAGGGAGCTCAGTGTAATTTGAGTATGGGACATGTGATTAATACGATCTATGGGAATCACCTGTGGCCAGTCTCCGTTGGGCAGCTGGCTGTCAATCAGCAGCTGCACTCCTCTCTCAATGGCCCGCCTGTCAGGATGCCTGGTACAAACAAGAGATTTCAATTTCATTTATTTTGCTTGGATTTTGGTTCAATTCAATTTGATTGGATCCAATTCACTGTCAACAAGTGTCTTTTGTAGCCAGGTTGAATAAACTGGCGAAGACAAATACATAATAATAATGTAAATACACAAATAATATCAACAGTAGAGCTTTACTCTGGCCTGGAACAACCCGAAGCCAATGAAAATTTGCCAAACCTGATCCCATTACACCCAGTTGCATTGTGGTCCAGCATAAACACCGAGCCTTTTGAGTTGAGCCCTGCTTTACCTGACAGCCATGAGGCCTAACAAAGCCCAGCAGGTGTTGTGGATCTGAGCGCTGCTGCTCTGGACGTAGCGCCGCTGCTCGCAAGACTCAAAGTCCTCCCCCCCAGCCTCCGTCCGGCATCTGCCGGTCCAGCAGGAACTGGCAGGCTCTCTGCACCTCGTCGCACACATCCCTGGAAACA